TCGCCGTGGACGCTCAAACGACTCTGCAAACGTCTCAGACGCTTTTCCAGCCGCTGGTAATTTCTCTTCATGCAGCAGTGCTTGCAATATTTCCTCGAGCCGTCGTGCTTGGCGGCGTCGCATGCGCAGCCACTGGTCGGAGTCTCCCTCGCCGTCGTCGAGTACGAGTCCTTCTCGCTGGTCGACAGGTACCTCGCCGAGTCCTCGTCCGCGGCTATGTCCTCGTCTATTCGCTTCTTCACGCTGTCGAGTATGCGGCGCTGATCGAGCTCCGAGGCCTTTTGCGCCTCTCTGCTGCGCATCGTTTCTTTCATCTCGGTAATGTAATTCTGCAGGAGGGCTCTTTTCATCGTCGACACTCCTCCCTCCGCGACGATCAGCCTCGGCGTCGACGCGCTGTCCCCGTGTCTGCGAGCGAGCAGACCGCCGTAGCAGCGGCTCTCCCCGAAGCTCTGGCAGCATTTGGAGGAATCCTCTTTGCCGCGTTGAATTCGGTCGGGCAGACGACGGCCCACCGGACACGACCTCAACGAAAAACGCGATCGGTCGCGATTGGGCATCGAGAGTCTCGGCTGCGTCGACGACAATGAAATGCATGTTAAAAAGCTCGATCGTGCTTTCGTTCATTCTCTCACCTTGAATGATTCGCTGTGGAATAGGACAACTGGACGATTTAATTTATTCGTTCTCGTACTAGCAGTAGGGTTCGACGATTCGCGAGCTAAATTATTTTCGCCGTTAACCAGATGTTCCAAGGCCGCCTTCGATGACGTCTTTTTTATCGAACAATCAAAGCTTACGGTTGCTCGGAAATCTAATTTTGAATTGTGAGAAGCTTTGAGAAATTCCGTACTTTTCGAGCACTGAATGCTCTTGTCGATGTATTTCTGTTGTGAGGTCGACGATGCAACTAGGTTATTCGCCGCTTTAACGGATTTATGCAAAATTGTTCTGAAACACATTGAATTCAATGTTATTCTCGCTCCCTTATTCTGGATCAAGCATGTCACACAAACTTTTGCTCATAATGTCCAATGTAGGTCTTGAGTTTCGTCAATAGCGAAGCCATATCGACGTAGGCGACGTTTTGCATGAGACAGTCGGCGCTACGATGATTCATCGATCGGCCAGCGTAAAATAGACTCTGATTATTTGTCAATTTTATCGAAATCGTGGTGAGTGGATTCTCGACAGTGGGCAATCTGCGACTGCTTCGTAGATATTTCCTTGCGAAGACTTGATACCAAAGCTTGAGCTGGCTCGATAAGGACGATACGTTGCAGGAAGAAGCGATTAGGGCGAAAATCGAGGACGAGACCCCCGAAGGACGTTCGAGTTTCGTCTTGACACTGTTGAGTATGCGAAACTATAACCTTAAAAGCTCGTCTTTACCTTTTTGGAACGATAGCTTACGTTTTTAACACGAGCAACTTGTGATCGTTCGAAGGACGATTTTCCAAATCGGTAAGGCAGAATATGAGGGCAATGGAATTTAAGATACGTTTCGATATCTTGCTCTTGGCTCTGTAATGTTGTCCGCAGTTGTAAACGTGCCACCAGCGCTCTATCTTGACCGTCGCCGTGTCGCGCAATAATTGCGTTCTCCGAAGGCAGGCGAATTTTTCGTTGCGCGGTTTTATCGTCGATCTTTTTGGCATCATGGCGATATGAGTATTGGAAATTTGATGAATTTTATGCTGGCGACTGGATAATTTATTCGCAAAAACGGTAGAAGGTTAAGTTTGGTCGTACGAAATTGCACCGGAGCTAATAATCATGTCGAAGACAATAACGAAAATAACCTTCTGCAAATTAATTTAAACATGTTGCTCAGTGTTATAAATTTGACATCTAGCTTACAAAGGACTGAACTTTTTTCAGCTCAATATTATTAGAATAAAAATATTACCTTGTGTGAATTAAAAACATTTCAACACCAATAAATATCCTAACAGTAACTATTGACATCCTCGGTTTGATTATCTAAACTAATACCTCGAAAGTATTTTGCTACATGTGAATATTTTATAGCACGAGTCATATTATAAATATATTCAAGGTTTTTAAAAATCAGATTCCACAATAAACAATCATAAGAAGCTTCTGCCGAACGCACTCAATGCATACAGCACGTGCGAAATCAAAACATTGACAAAAATGTTCGCTTACACTCAAGTTCCGAATTTCCTCAACACTACTGTCGCTGTGTTTATCCACGCGTATTTCATAATTCTCACGAGCAGCGGATTCTTTATCCGGATATTGAACATCCGTTAATTTCTGCCGAGATCTGCTCACTGACACGAGCACATAATTAGATGCAAACATTGCTTTGCTCAAAATTTTGGAAGCCTACTTTTGAATTTGACAGATTGTCTGATCGATGCATCCAGCCCAAACATACGCATTGTTATCCAAGGTCGGCAATTTTGCGCCGAGCAGATTTTATTTGACAATTGTGAAAGCTTGAAAAAAACGATAATCGAGAGTAGGGTTAGAATCGGTATAAAAGAGTCGAGGAGTTTTTGGGAAAGCACAGTTAGCAGCCTAACAGCATCTAAGCAACATGTTCACCAAAGTATTGATTGTCTGCCTTTTGGGCGCAACTTTGGTTGCAGTAAGTATTTGGCTTTACTCAATTGCGCAAAGCAAAAATATCAAATAATAATTAAATTCACATTGAAAATTCACAGGCCAGCGAGCAAGAAGTCCCGAAAGCAGGTCTGAGGGAGAAATTCGGCAATCTGATCCATCAAGCTCACGAAAAACTGCACGGACGTCTGAGCGCAAACCAGGGAGCCCTTTCGGGAATCGCCGGCAAAATCCGCGAGCAGAGAATCAAACTGGTGGAATTCGCCAAGGAAAAATTGGTCGTTCTGAAGCAGCGCTACGAAGTTCTCAAGGAGAAGCTCCAGAGCAATGTCAACCAGGAAGCGATCCGCGCCCGCATCCAGGAAGTCCAGGCCAAAGGCAGAGACATCCTCTCCCTCATCCGTGCCCGTGCCGCTGAACTCAAGCTGAAGATCAAGGAAGCCATCAAGAACAGGAGCCAACCCCAACATGTTGAGGCCCTCCAAGAGGAGCTCGTCAAAGTCGAAGAAGTCGAATCGATCGCCGTTCAGTACAGCAACGAAGTAGTCCACTACTCGGCCGTTAGTGACAAAATCAGTCAGATCCTGAGCAGCATCCACGAGAAATTCCACGAAGTTGTGGCCAACAACAAGGACAAAATCGCACCGATCGTCGAGAAGGTCCGCGAGGAGGCCAAGAAGATCTTTGAAGCCGCCAAAGTCAAGGCCGCCGAACTCAGGGAGAAATTGGCTGCCCTCAAGGAGAAGCTTTTGAGCGAAGAGAACAAAGCCGCCGTCAAAGCCAAAATTGAGGAACTCAAGGTCAAAGGACAAGAATTGGTCGAGAAAGTGAAGGCTCAGCTCGAAGAGCTCAGACAGAAGGTCAAGGAGCACATCGCTAAATACGATAAACAACAATAATCTGTTTAGCTTAGTTTTTTTACATTAATTTCTATCGTTTTATGCAACTCAATGTACATATAGTTGTAAATAAAGTATATTAATTATCAGCAGCATAAACATCGGCATTTTTTAAATTATGAAATGTATGATACCGCAGTGCTTGTATGATTTCAATGTATTGAAAGATTCTGGTATCGTTTAGCCCCTGCAATAGCCTTGATGCAACCGTAAATCTTACAGCTTCAAGTATTCTTTTGCTGTTTGACTAAACCATAAATTCTAGATGCACTTACTTATATTTTAAATAAAGTTGCCTCAAGATATTTATTTATTAAAAAGTGATGGACCCTATAGTAAAGCCTCTTGAAATGATTCATGATTGGTCGAGTTATTTTTGTCTTGAGCTGAAATAAGATAAAAAATTACTATAAACTTAAAAAGTTCAACACTTTATTCAATCAAGAATTTGTTTCATAGTTTTAAAAAAATGTAAGGAAGGATTAGATTTTTTTCTTAAGATTTCTTCACACGATGAAATAATATTGGAAGAAATTATGATAGTATTGTAAATGAAAGAATTCAATTAGTCTTCTGAACGAGTACATTAAATTTTATTTATTTGTTAAGTTGTAATACGTGATCAATATCATTGGGCATCTTATTGATTGGGATTTTTAAACTAATCTTTAGAATAGTTGATTTTAAGCATTTGTCACGTGAATATGACATCATTATGCTTCGCTTTCATGTTAATTTGTGACTACATATGTTGAGGAATGTCTTTTCATAAATACCGCATAGGTAAATGATACTTGTATGCAGCACAGATATGTGAATTTAACGTAGTCCTTACTGTAGAATTTCTTTCTGCATGCATCACATACATGTGTGCAACTATTGTGCACCGCATCAATGTGGGTATGGATATAATTATTTTTCATACCAGCAGCCCAAATATACTATCCTGGCACTGTGCGAAGCGGAAAGAGAGATTTTCGGGCCCCTAGGTATGAAAAATAACATACGGGCCGAAGCCCCCGAAAAAAGAAAGCCTCAGAGCACGTGTTGATCAGGATTTTTCTGTTTTTCGCGACCTAGAGCAGTAATATACTATCTTATCTCTTTCATCTGCGCCGGTGATACCACGATGCAAGGATTCAACATGCCTCTAGGGATAATATTTTAGTTTGAAAGCATTTCCACAAATATCACATGCATGTGTGACACCGTCATGCACCATCTGAGTTGAAAAAGGTTTATTGCTTAAAAATGTTATAATGATTCTCATTTATTTAAGTTGCATTTTATGATAGCCAAAAATAGACTGGGGTTTCGAGCCATTAAAACCGTATATTTTGTGTAAAGCTGTGTAAAATGTTGTGCAGATTACATTATGTATCTAGACTATCTAGAGCGTAGAGCTATTCGATGGTAGAGAGGGAAAGTATCGTCGAATGAGCTATCACAATCACAGGGTCACCTCGCTAACATACAAGTATAGTCTCATGGTGTACACAGTTGCTGGCAAGGAGCTCCTGCAGTAGTGTGTTTCTGTGTTTACAAATTCGTGAATTCGAGGTACAGAGCTGGCTTCTTAAAGTGTTTAACCTCAAACATTTTTTTAGTGTATTTCATGAAAATTAACAGTGAATAAATATAATCAAATGAGTGATGGAAAGCCGAGAAAATACAATAAGGTATACAATTTTTTTGCACGACAAAGTATTTTTTAAAGCGTTCGCTTTATCGAACTCGATTGTTTTTTAGGTTTAAGAAAGAACCGCATGATACTAAGCCAGATGTAGGCGACGATCATATTTTCGATTCAGCTGACTTTAGCGAAGCCAAAAACTTTGACGCATTTTCGTTTTATGAATCATCAGTGAGTTTAATGATTTAAATTATTTTCTGTCTTTTTAGCATCAAAAAGTATATTACAATTTTAATTATAGGCTAATCTCGCGAATGCAGCTAAGGAATTACACGAAAAATTAGACGAAAAAATATTAGTAGATTTTGAGTGCAAAGATGTTAAACTTGAACCAACGTTTCTTTCTACAAACTTCAACAAAATTGAGAGTCAAAGTTATCTACCTATTGTGAAAGTAGATAACGAAAATTCGATTAATCACATGAATGAAAAAAGGCTAATAATTTTGATTAAAAAAGATTTCGATTATTATAATCACTGTCTATTTCAAGTAAATTTGCAATTAAAAATTACCGATTATAAGGAGGTTAAAATATTCAGAAAAACTTCTCACTCCAAATTATCTAATAAGTTCAAAGTATGTCAAAAAACTTTCAAAAGAAAAGTGAATTTAAAAAGACACACCACTAAGACACACAATCAGATCAAACTTTTCGAGTGCTTTATTTGTCGCAAATCATTTGGATACAAAGGTGATCTCAACAAACATATAACGATAGTACATGATCGTAGCAAACCTTTCGAGTGTGAGATTTGTCATAAATCATTTGGACAGAAAGTAAACCTCAAAAGGCACGCCAATGCAGTACATAATGGCAGCAAACCTTTTGAATGTAACTTTTGTCACAAATCATTTGGACAAAAATGTACCCTCAACAAACACATAAGTGCAGTTCATGATCAGATTAAACCTTTCGAATGTGAGATTTGTCATAAATCATTTGGACAGAAAGAAAACCTCAAAATTCACATATATGTGGTACATGATCGTAGCAAACCTTTCGAGTGTGAAACTTGTCATAAATCATTTGGACAAAAAAGTCACTTTAAAACTCACGAAATGATAGTGCATGATCGAAAAAAACTCTTTGAATGTGAAATTTGTTATAAATCATTTGGACTGAAAAGTACTCTGAAATCTCATGCAAATGTACATCATCATAAGCAACCCTTTCAATGTGACATTTGTAATAAATCATTTCAACGTGAGGGGCACCTCACAACTCATATAAATGCAGTTCACAATCGAAGCAAACCCTTCAAGTGTAACATTTGTCGCCAATCATTTGGATACAAAAGTGTCCTCAAAACTCACATAATTTCAGTACATGATCGGAGCAAACCTTTTAAGTGTGATAATTGTGACAAATCATTTGGCCGCAAGAGTGAGCTACATGAAAATATAAATTCAGTACACGATAAGAGCAAATTATTTGAATGTGAGATTTGTCAGAAATCATTTGTACAAAAAATTCACCTAAAACGTCACACACAATCGAAGCAATCCTTAGGAGCATGAGATTTTTCTGGAGCTAATTGGACGCAATCAAGACTCTTACAATTGCACGAGTATGCTATAAAATTTTAGAAAATCTTCCATATAAGTATTATTCAATTGTGTAAATAATAATTAACTTTATCAAACCTTTATTAATTTTGTTGTTATTGTGAAAAATCGTATACTCTCTTAATTATATTTACTAGAATATAAAAAAATGTTCCCAATTACCAACTTAACTTCCTATCCGTATGCCGTTAAAAAATTCTTGTCTTAAACAAGAATTATTCCTACATTTGGTCCGTAGACGTTTTTAACCAATTTTCGTAAACGCAGAAATTTTTAACAACATCAATAGTCGATAAAAAGCTCTGTGAGTAATAAAAATTTAGCCTATGCGCTGCAGGGCTTTTGAGTACCCAATCATTGAACGAAAATACTTTATAACGATTGCTCGATTCTGAACTGTCTATATAAAGTCCCATTATAAAAAATGAAATATCATTTTCTTTTAATTTGTCGCAACTTCACTTATATCCTGTTGAATTCAAACTTGAATATAGAAATTATCAAATTTTCAAGAAAAAGTTCTTTGCTACTGTATGGACCGCGAGTTTTTCTGCTTTTTTTTCAATTTGAGCTAATTTTAAAACATTCGCATGGTTTTTACTCGGCATTGAAGTAGTTTTCAGAATATTCAACGTTGTAGTCAACGTTTATTACGTAATAGGAGCTGTTGAACTTCAATTTTAGATTAAAAAATATCGTCTTCTCTTTCGTTTTGTCTGATAAAATGCAAGTATTTAAATTAATTAACGAGCCATCATAAATTTCGGTAATACGACATAAATGTCGGTTCATTTGCTCCTTGATTATTATTTCACAACAAAGAATTGGTGAATACATTGGGGAGTACAAAATTGGATAGATCAGCGGCACGAACCAATATAAATACATCGACTTTATTCAGCAAAAGTTTCACCACAGCTAATTGCAGTGGTGTCCGGCCCAACTTGTGCTGTGCGTCGATTTGCACCAGTTGATTGACTTCGTCATTGATCTTGAAGAACAGCAGCTCTGTTAAGTCTTCATCGTCGTTTCTTTCGCAAATGTTAATCCCTCTGTCGTCTTCTTGTCGTTCAATTTAGATCGGTACCTTTTCTGAGCAACAATTAAACACTTCTTTTTTGATGTAGTCCACAGCCAAGTGCAGTTGCAGATAAAAGAAGCTCATGTCTGAATCTTAAAGGAAACAATTTGGATTCTGCCTTGCTCGAGGAATTTTTCGACAACGTCGTAATAGCCAGACATGCAGGCCACGTAAATATTTGTGAAGGCTGGCTCGTTGGTGCAATTAATATCCATCAATCTGTTGTACATTTTAAAAAACTCATCTACGTAGTAGAATTTCTTCTTAATAACTATTCGATGTACTGGCGTGGTACGACGTAATAGTGGCTTATCGTCTTCATCAACGTTGGGCTAGTCCTTGTAATCGGCGTGACTAACGAACTTAATAATTCGTTTTCTTGTACAACAACTTATGGAACCCGATAGTCAACACTAAATTTCTTTGACCCGGAAAATGTTTCGGAAATCTGGAAGTTCAACCTTCCAAGAACAAATCCAATGATTTCCAAACGGAGAAAGATTGGAGCCTTAGATTTTTAAATTGATTTTTTTCAAAAGAGTTTCAATTTTTTCAAAATGCCTTCGCCAAAGTTGTCTGTAGATTCGAAATCGTTGCTTACCCTATACTTTTCTTTTTGTTGTGCATACAACAAAATTCCTAGTTGGTATGCTGACCAAAATGTTGAACTACCGCAACAAAGAGCTATAGTTGGCTTCATAACTAATTTGGCACAACATTATATTACTCAAATTGTTTTTCAATTATCTATCACCAAAAGAATAAGAAAACAACGAATATTTTTTAAACTAAGAGCGTAATGTTATGTCGTGTCAAATTAATTGCAGCGTTAATCAAATAACATTATGAAACTAAAAATTTTAGTTGGCACTATAAAAATGCTGTTTTGTTATAGCAACTAAGAATTTTGTTGTGTGCACTGAGATCTTTTTCCGTATGGTAGGTGCTTAATATTATTTGATTTAAATTATTTCAAACATTGAGAAATATTGGAACTATTCTCCATATTTTTTATTGATACACTCATTTTTAAACAAGAAACGTTAGAGCGAGAAGTTGAGAAAAAACTTCTGACAAATGTTTGAATTTAAATTTATTATTTTGAAAAAAATGTCTATTACTTTATTAGTATTTTATGCATGAAATAGAAACATTCCAATTTTTAGGAGGAAACTCTTTGCCGATGTACTGGCAGCGATTTTTCGTTTTGTTTGCAGGGATCAATTTGTACTCGTATCATATCTTAACATGAAAAAGTATACAGCACGTGCGAAATCAAAACATTGAAAAGATCTTCGCTTACTTTTAAAGTTTCGAACTTCCGCAACACTACTGTCGCTGTGTTTATCCACGCGTATTTCATAATTCTCACGAGCAGCGGATTCTTTATCCGGATATTGAACATGCGTTAATTTCTGCCGAGATCTGCTCACTGACACGAGCACATAATTAGATGCAAACATTGCTTTGCTCAATATTTTGGAAGCCTACTTTTGAATTTGACAGATTGTCTGATCGATGCATCCAGCCCAAACATACGCATTGTTATCCAAGGTCGGCAATTTTGCGCCGAGCAGATTTTATTTGACAATTGTGAAAGCTTGAAAAAAAACGATAATCGAGAGTAGGGTTAGAATCAGTATAAAAGAGTCGAGGAGATTTTGAGAGAGCACAGTTAGCAGCCTAACAGCATCTAAACAACATGTTCACCAAAGTATTGATTGTCTGCCTTTTGGGCGCAACTTTGGTTGCAGTAAGTATTTGGCTTTACTCAATTGCGCAAAGCAAAAATATCAAATAATAATTAAATTCACATTGAAAATTCACAGGCCAGCGAGCAAGAAGTCCCGGAAGCAGGTCTGAGGGAGAAATTCGGCAATCTGATCCATCAAGCTCACGAAAAACTGCACGGACGTCTGAGCGCAAACCAGGGAGCCCTTTCGGGAATTGCCGGCAAAATCCGCGAGCAGAGAATCAAACTGGTGGAATTCGCCAAGGAAAAATTGGTCGTTCTGAAGCAGCGCTACGAAGTTCTCAAGGAGAAGCTCCAGAGCAATGTCAACCAGGAAGCGATCCGCGCCCGCATCCAGGAAGTCCAGGCCAAAGGCAGAGACATCCTCTCCCTCATCCGTGCCCGTGCCGCTGAACTCAAGCTGAAGATCAAGGAAGCCATCAAGAACAGGAGCCAACCCCAACATGTTGAGGCCCTCCAAGAGGAGCTCGTCAAAGTCGAAGAAGTCGAATCGATCGCCGTTCAGTACAGCAACGAAGTAGTCCACTACTCGGCCGTTGGTGACAAAATCAGTCAGATCCTGAGCAGCATCCACGAGAAATTCCACGAAGTTGTGGCCAACAACAAGGACAAAATCGCACCGATCGTCGAGAAGGTCCGCGAGGAGGCCAAGAAGATCTTCGAAGCCGCCAAAGTCAAGGCCGCCGAACTCAGAGAGAAATTGGCTGCCCTCAAGGAGAAGCTTTTGAGCGAAGAGAACAAAGCCGCCGTCAAAGCCAAAATTGAGGAACTCAAGGTCAAAGGACAAGAATTGGTCGAGAAAGTGAAGGCTCAGCTCGAAGAGCTCAGGCAGAAGGTCAAGGAGCACATCGCTAAATACGATAAACAACAATAATCCGTTTAGCTTAGTTTTTTTACATCAATTTTTATCATTTTATGCAACTCAATGTACATATAGTTGTAAATAAAGTATATTAATTATCAGCAGCATAAACATTAGTATTGTAATTATTCTCAAGAGTTGAACAAAAAGTATACCGTCGATTCTAGTACTGACCATTAGCTCTATATTTGCAACTAGTACTCTTTACTTCTTAAGGCTGCCTGTGGATAAAGACATGATCATAAGCATATTATTTTCTGAAAATATTTTTACATTTGAACATTGTAGAACTTTCCAAAAATCTAAATTTTATTCGTTGATTGTTGATAATTTTATTATGAGGCACTATTTTTGGTGCAGGATATTATAAAAACCGTCGTTCTACTACATCGTAGCAAACCCTCATTTCGCGAACGTCAAGAACCAATTATTATTCAGCTGCCTCACGGTATATATATTTGCGGCCTTTATGAAGTTTATTATCGCAGAACTTTCTAATAAATTCGCCGCGTACACTTGAGAAAAACTCTCGGCGTCGGCCGCTCCACGCCGAGGAAGTTGTATTAAATTCTGCAACTTAAGGACGCGACGCGATAATATAAAGTAATGCGCGCGCCTCGCGAAATGAGAAATCGAGTAAGGTTTGGCAAAACCCCGCTGCAAGTGCGGCGTAATGATGAAGAAGTAAAGAGAAGAGATAGCCAGTAGCTATTATTAAATGCCTCGACTAACTACCTGAGTTATGTATAATGAGACATTCCAGTTTGCATGACTTCGCTGCCTGCAGCGGGGCGAAGATACATTAATTGTTTCGGTCTGTCATTAGCACGTGCCCGGTTGCCGCTGCTGCTGCTACGAGGTAACCATGACGTTATGCCGCGCCTGTATCGATGTCTTTATTCGCTAGATATAGTAAATGAGTATAATCAATTCTTCGATCGAAAAATTCTCATCTTCGGTAGAAATTTAAGATTTGTAAAATATCGTTCGAAAATTCATTTATACTTTAATTTTTTCATACGCATAAAAATATGCATAGTTTTATGCTCAAAGCGAGTACATCGCCGTGGATTATATTACTGTTCTTTGAAAAAGATACTTCGTACAAAAAGCTTTAGGTGTACATGTGTAAAATATTACTCATAAAAAAATGACATTTATTTGATATTTAAAAAATATAATTTCGTTAAAATAATGTTGTCAAATATATACGATATACTATGCTTTTGTTATTTGTCATTTTCATCTTCTTAAGATTGAATCAATATATCATTTTTACAAAATTACTATATTTAGTAAGATTTGTCCAGTTATAAATATTTTACACAAATTATTGCCCAAATAATGAATTTCAAACAACAGAACGATGGAATTATAGTAGTATAACATTTTTTGATTTTTTTTATGTCGAGGGCATTGTTTGAAAGAACAGTACTGCTCATGTTAATCATATTGTAAGCTTTGGACAGGGAAAAATCATTGCAGCTCTACTAAAAATACTCTCTTGTCAATAACAACTGGGACAAAAAATGAGAAAATGTCAGGTTAGAAAAGAAAGGAAATCGAATGTAATAGGTAAAATTTCTTAATACTTTGAATTTGTTGATTATAATAATCTACCAATGTACTTGAAATGTTTGAGTTACTGTGCCAAAATTTAATAGCTACTTGTCAAAACAATAATGTTTTTATCGAAATAATCGACTATCGCTCTACGTATTACCATTTACGATGGACGAACTTGTATAATTACATGCTGTTAATTATTACCAGTTTCTTTACAACTTGGCCATAATTCTATAGTTTTCAGTTTAACTACATTACAAGGAACGTATTTTTTGATCGTATTATATTGATATTATTGATAGTATGTTAGTTAGATACTGAAACATAAAGCTAATCATGTAACTGCGTTTATTCATGTTGTCTACTTGATAAAAAAATGTTTATTAAAAGGATAATCAAGAAAAGCTAAAAATGAAAATTTTCAAAAATATTTCAGAGTTCACTTGAAATTCATGTTTTAATACAAGTAAAAAAATGAGAAAGTTACAACGTATAGAATTTTTATAAAAATTTATTCGATGGCCATTTTATCATATGGCACGTATATAATTATAAACACTTAATAAATACTATTATTTTTTAACTATTTTGTATAAAATTCGAAATATCAAAAGTTTATGTCATCTTAACAAAATATGTGTTTTCGTATTTTTATTGTGGTTTATTGGCTTGAGAGACAAGTTGCTTGACTTTCAACCTGAGAACTTTAATCTGACTTTTGACGCTCTTGAAAACCAATTTGCTCTCCTTTCGCAGCTCATCGAGTTTGCCTAAAACGAGGTTTTTGTTGTCCTCGGTTTTCAATTGCTCCCTCAGAACATCCAATTGTTTCATGAGTTCGGCTGCCTTAACTTTGCCTTCTGCGATTACTTTATCGGCCTCCTCGCGAATCGGTTTAGCGGCATCGCCGAGCTTTTCCTGGTATTTTTCCAACAGCGCGTTGAATTTAAGTTGAACCTTGTTTAAGGCGGCAGCCAGTTCTGCGACGTTTCTCGCTCTCGATTCAAATGTCAATTCAATCGGGTACACAAGAGTCTGATTCACGAGTGCTTGAACGATCTTGAGTTCACCTTCCAAAATTTCGCGATTCTCCGGGGTGACTTCTCTGTAAAGGAGGTGTTTGATTCTGATTTTCAGGCCGGTCGAGCGTCCTTGAACAGAGTAGGACAAACCCTTGCTTCTTCCAATGAGTTCGTGAACGAGCGCATTTATGGCACCTGCATTTTCTTCGGGTTTCTCAAGTTTCACCTTAAGAATTTCGTAGCGTTCCTTGAGTTCGGACACTCTGCTTTTTGTGAAAGCGACGAGTCGAAGTCTTGTGTTGCGAAGTCTGCCTACTACACCGGGCAGTGGCTCGCTGTTTGAGCTCAGTTCTCCGTCGAGTTTTTGCGACAGATCTTCCAACCATTTGCCCAATTTTTCAATCATCTCATCTCTGAACTGTAAGTTCTAATTTTTATCTGATTATACTACTATTTTATTTTTAAAAATATTTTATTAATCAATATAAATTACATTCCAACTTACTGTGTCTACGTCGTTCTCTTGCTCAACTTCTGGTTCATTTGGATCAACGACGACTTCCTCTTCGGGCTTGCTTGGTTCAACAACGACTTCTTCTTCGGGTTTGCTTGGTTCAACAACAACTTCTTCTTCAGGTTTGCTTGGTTCAACAACGACCTCTTCTTCTGGTTTGCTTGGCTCGACAACGACCTCTTCTTCTGGCTTGCTTGGCTCGACAACAACCTCTTCTTCTGGCTTGCTTGGCTCGACAACAACCTCTTCTTCTGGATGGCTTGGTGGCTCAACAACAACCTCTTGTTCGGGTTGACTTGGCTCGACAACTACCTCTTGTTCAGGTTGACTTGGCTCGACAGCAACTTCTTCTTCGGGCCGCACTGGCTCGACGACGACTTCTTCTTCGGGCTGGCTTGGTTTACCACCAAGTTCGAGTTCTGGATCATTTTCACCAAGCACAATTTCAGGGTCCACTTGATTACCTTCGAGTTCAGTTTCTTGGTTACTTGGTTTCAGCTCAATTTCTGGCAAATTTGGTTCATTGTCAAGCTGGATTTCTGGATTACGGGGGTTGATGTCAAGCCCAACTTCTTGGTCAGCCTTGGATAAAAAAATCAATTTCACATAAACAAACAGAAGTAATTATACTTCGATCAACGCATGATACTCACAGCAACCAAAATTGCGCCGAAGAGCAGCAGAATCAATAATTTACTAAACATATTGGTCGATATAATGTAATTAACTGTATTAATCTGACGCGCGGCAGATCCTTTTATACTGTGAATGAAAAAATCGAATTTTTTCTTTATGATATAAAAAATAATCAGATAAAGCCAGACACACGTGTTTCAACCTTGATAAGTGCCAAATCGTTGCAGCTGTACGACGCGACTAATAACCCAGTGAATAAATTTGTATTCAATTAAAATGTAAACACGTATTATTCATGCGTATTTTTTGAATAATCAATTGTTACAATGGAATAATTTCCAAATTTTCATGGTGTACACGTGTTGTTTTTCAAAATTACGTATGTTACAAGCAAATAAATAACTGCAAGATTTATGGCAAGCTTTCTCGATTAAAGTTTTAGCGAAAAATTTAAATGAGTGTACAAGTAGCACATGAAACGAACGTAAAAATTATTTAATTTTATAAATTCTGTTTGTAACTCTTTTCATTAACCGAGGTTTTTATTTGTTTATTTGGAGTAATATATTAATTAATATAGGTCAGCTCTCAAATCAGTGCACCCAAAGTATCTATAATAAATGTGATTATTTTTTATTGAATTAAATATTTATCTTGGGTTTTGAATAACCAGTTTTCTTTGAAATGACATTGGTGAAGCGGAATAAAATATTGATGTTCGTTTACAAAAATGCAATTAACTCCTTAATTAGGTTAAACCAAACATATGCATACCTTATTGCAATTTTTTGAAGCACTGCCACAGTGCGATTAGTGGGAATACACACATTGACACATGTATTGAAATAATGATTGGGTATTAATCACGAATATTAATTTTTTCATCATTTTTTTTATTGAATGAGTAATGTGAATACAGTTAAAAATTATCGTACATACATAGTACAGGTATGGTGTTTTTTTATTGCAACAATTCTTTTCTCAGTGTCACGTTTCAAATATAAATTTATGTGAGTATTAGTTTCATACGATTGGACAATTCATAAAAACACGCGATAGATTGCAAAGCGTGTTGTCAGTTCGATAAACTTTGAATGAGTTCATTTTTCCATCGAATGTTATGATTTCGAGCCACGCATGCATGACATTATAAAGTGTCTGTGATGCCTGTTGTGTAATCGCTATACACCGATTAGATCTGCGAATTACAAAAAAAACACGATCACTTCATTTTGACTGCTCCTCACGTACTTTTATCGTTGAATCAATCGCAT